CGCTCATCCTCTGTTCGACTTTTTAAAGCATGAGCAACACGGGTTTCTGGTCGATGCAATAAAATGGAATTTCACCAAGTTTTTAATTGACCGGGATGGAAATGTGGTGAGCAGATTTTGCTTTTTTTCCCTCAATCTATTTTTTGAACTCTTTTCAACATTTACTTCTTTTTAATTTAATTTTATTATAGCTTCTTTCTGTTTTTGCACTTCAATTAATAGGTGTTGCTTTAACGTTCAGGTGAAAAGGTATGCTCCGAACAATGAGCCACTGGCTATGTCTGGTGATATCGAGAAGCTTTTAAAAAGAGAGAAATTGGCATAATTTCTTTCAAATTTTCTTTGTATGGTTTAACTAATGTGGTCTTATCACTCGTAGTTTTTAGTTCACTTCGTTTTATGTTGTTTTAAGAATGCTTTTTTTTTCTTTTGTTTATGTGAGAAATTTATAGATTGTGGCGTTTCCTGCTAATATTGTGAAGTTCAATAATTATTTTAGGAAATTTTTGCGTTATTAATCACGTAAAGCATGGGGGTCGGTCGGAAGGCAGTTTTGAAGGTATTTGAAGCATTATAGCTCAGGATTTGTTTGTTAGAACTCGACTTAGTGAAGTATTTTAAATTAGAACTTTATTCCACCAATTGGAAGTGTTAAAATTGTTGTGTACTGATATTACATTGACAATCAGGACTGCACTGGTTTTGGTTTGACCAGAGGCCCGTGCATCTTTCAGCAGCGGAATATATCAAATAAAGTTGTATGGTAAATAAAATAGACCGCATTTGTTGAACAAGTTTATTAAAACTATTTTAGTCTTAGTTTGTGTAGCATTAACAGCAGTTTATTTGTTCATGTCACTTTTATAAATATATTAAGTTTTATTTGAAGTATACAGTTGCAAGATTTGTCGTCAAATTTACCAAGAAAAGTGTCCCAACATCCCATCAGAGTTATTCCAGCTTTCCCTTTGCTTCTTGAAAGTTGTTTTGTCTTTATTAAATCCACGTCGACAGAATGCAGTAGAGAGCTCAGTTTTACAACACATCATCTGGTTTACCTTTACAAGCTAGGTTTTTTTAAAGTAATAGTTTTTTCTGATTTGTTACTCTTCGTTAAATATTGCTTACGGTTCACATTTCGGCTCACGTTTATGCCTGTCCAATACAATTACTTGCTATTAATTACTCGATCTTGTTGACTGAGTAAACTTTGAGGTTCTTCCTTCTGAAGTCCTTTCTGGTTCACTCGTTTTTTTGATATGAACAACATTTTGGAGAGACATTTAGCAGAAACATTTGCAAATTATTACTCCTTTTCAAGTTGTTTTCGGGGAGCATTTTACGTCTGAACCACTGAAGGCCACTGCTGGAGGTTGTTTTAAGTGGAGCAATCAAAAAGGTTTGGTGAAAAACGAAGTTCAGTGGGGGACGTTTAGGTGATGTATGGGTAGAGTGCATCGGATGGGCGCTTCATTGTAGGGGTTTTCTAACTGTTTAATTTCTGGTAAGACTAGCTGTTATTAGTTCCTTTAAACTACGCTGTGTGCGACAAAGAGTTAGGCGGGTGGACGGGTTAGTCAGGGGAAGAGAGAGAGGACATTCGGCAGGAGGAGGGGTGGAAGAACAGGGGCAAACAGGTCCAGAAATGGTATGATAGCAAAGTGACTGTCATTTAAGAAAAGTTTTCTGGATGTGTCATAGGATAACTTTTTGCGGGGGTGCTGGAACGTTGCCAGGTTATTTGGCATGTTTCTTACTGGTGATTCCTGACTTTGTTGTCAGAATTCGCGAATCAATTTGAAAAGGAACTTTTCTGCAGGTGTATTATGCGTAAAGAGTGAGGTCAGATGAGTCAGTAGTAGTTTCTGCGACGGTCCTCACCCCTTGTTCCAGAGTGTATCTTTTCAAAATACTAAAAGTTGGAGGTTGGAAAAATATGGTGGATTCTGAAGCTCTTGGGGAGCAAGAGAGTAAGTGAAAAGAATCTATAAGCAACATTTACCATGTAACATTTTCCAAAGCTTAACTTCTGAAATTGGAAGAAAGGTGTTTCAGTTGAAGCTTTTTTTGGTGTAGAAGAGTTACAAGTGTGAATGTGAATTAACTTGTATGTTTCTAGGAAAAAATGGGTCTTCAGTGATTGTTGGAAATATGTACATGGAAAAATTTCTAATCAAAGTTGCGTCAATGGGTGACTGTCCTCCTAGCCTTGATCGTTTGATGGTGGAACAGATGATCGATTTAGCTGGAGCAGGTACACCGACTTGACTTCTTTTGTGATGTGATTAGAGTTTCTGTCAAGTTTCCAGTTAGCGGGGTTCAAGAGATTGACAGTTCGAAACGAGTTTAAATGTCACTTCCTAAGCAAGAAAGTACAGGGAATTTTATGTGGATAACCTCAAGAAAATTCGAACTTTTTTTATTTTTTTTTGGGGAGGGGGGTGGGAGGAAGAAACGGTGTCTTGAAGATTAATTTATTTTGCGGTGGTTTTTACAAGTACTTTGATTATTAAGCTTCTGATATACCGTTATTTCAGATTCTTCAAACCTGAAAGTTATTTCCGAAACAGTGCCTAAACTTAATGTGCATTCCTCGAAGTTCGCATGTATCTTCTGCTTAAAACTACTGCGTAAGGTTGTTTTGAAGTTGTATTTTTATACAGTTTCTTTTGAACTTTTAGAGTAGTTACGTTGTCATTGAAATTTCTTGAAAGACTTAATAATTTTTTGCATAATTTAAGTACAGATAATTTTTAAAATTTTAACCTCAGTGAAATTGGGAAGAATTTTGGTTTTGAGCACTTCTTCGAGCATGGAGAGCGAGGTTAAGCTAGTTTTTTTGAGGAGTTCGATGTGTTTTTATTCCTATGGTACATATTTTATTAATTAATCAGCAGTTTTTTGTTCCACTCCGACGTTTTCGCTATTTCTGGCTTTTAATAAATTTTGTGATACGCTGGAAGACGTTTATGTCTTTTGCGGCTCTCTTTTCGAAAAATGTTTACTTAATTGTTTGCCTTTCGAATGGTTAGTGCAGAAGGATTTATAGTACTAGTTTTTTTTTTTTTTTTTGAGAGTTTTAGCCGATGTGGGTAAAGTATTAAAATTTCTGGGCTTACCTAACTTCAACTGCTGAACAGTTGAAGTTGGCTTATATTGTAAAAAGGCGATGTAGACTAGTGGGCTACGACTTATTGCTCATAGTACTGAAAATCTCGTGATTTAAAATACGAATTGATTAGGTAAGATTAGGCGATTAAAACTGTAGGAAACAGTCAGGGTTAAGGTGAAACTTTTCACGATAGGGTTCTTTGGCGAACCATGATGTGCTGAGAAGGAGGAAGCGTCATATAAGGAATCTGTGGCATTTGTAGCGTATTATCCAAATTATCTTCTCTGGGGTACACTTTCTTTTTTAGATCGCATATTTGTGAGGGAAAAGCTCAAAGTTGTATTTATATTGCATGGCTTCTCAGGAAGACTCTCATTCTTGAAACATTCAAAGATAAAGAGGATGGAACTTGTCTTCTGTTTAACTAAAGATTTTATAGAGGAGTTTTGTATAAATAGTTCCTAATATTATCTTTGTATCTTATTGGGATATAATATTTTAGAATTTGTTTTGCGGCGGTACGAAGGTTTCAGTCTAATTTCTGAGGGTTAAATTTTACCGGTGAGGAATGTATGGTGTCTTTAACGGATATGGTTTTAAGCGAGTACTGAATTCTCTTAGTTGCCTGCAAATGCTTCGTAATCCTCATTCTCATTGCACTACATTTTTTCGCCTTCCCGCTTTTTTCTTCTGTTTGTTGCGAACCTGTTTTAGCTTTTGAGGCGCGGCATTGGATTTGACCGCAAGGAGAATGTGACGAGCTTTTTACACAGATGCCTAAAGGCTGTCAGAATGGAAGACTTTTCATTCCTTTGTGCGATTTTTCAACTGCTAAGCGTACTCGAAGGTCAAGGCATTGCAGATGAATTCCAAACCGGTATTTTTTTTTTGATATTTTTATTTAATTTTGTTTGTCTGATTAAGATCTCTAGTTATATAGCAGTTTTTGAAATATTCTGGTCAAGTCCGAAGTTGTAATCTGACAGCTGCTTCTGAAAAGTGTTAAACTTCTTAAAAATTATTTAAGTTGTAATTTTAAAGCTTAATTTTCAATTTTTTGGAGGTTACCTAGAATATAATAATTGTCACCGAATTTGGAAATTATCAGAAGTTTATTGATTTTATTTTTCTTCATCTTTTGGCTGAGTGAAAATGTTCATTCTATTTCCTTCCTCCCTGCGTTCAGTTCCCGTTTTGACTTCTCTTTTTTCCTCTCTTTCGTGAGGTTTTGAGTTTGCTGTCTCCCCCTGTACTTTAAACGGGAACTTCTCGTAAGACTGTGTAGAGGGTATACTTTCTATTATCATCTGGCTTTAATTTAACTTTTCTGCTCACTGAAAACGCTTATTTTTTTATATTAGCGAATTTCGTGAAGCTACCATACTGTTATCATTGCCCTTTTATAGACGCTTGGAATTTGGCAATTTCCTGTCTTAAAACTGATGGGATGACCATATTCGTTAAGAAAGCAACTTGCGAATACTGTAAATTATTAATTGAAAAGAAGGATTGTAATTTGGACTTTGCGCCTCTTGTATCAGTTTTGTGCAGTGGAGACGATTCTTTCGACTGGTATTTATCTTAAAATTTTTCTTTCCAGAGGTAGAATTTAATACTGCTATAGTACAAATCACTTATTTTTTGGTTTCAAATTGAGAATATTTACAGGAGTTTTGATGGTTAATTGCATTTAACTTTTATAATTTTAGTATTTCCGAAATATTTGTCGCTCATCCCGAAATGATTAGTGAAGCTGCAGCCGAAATATTCTGCTCAAATGCTTTAAAGAAGCGAAGCTTTACACATTCTTACGTGGAATTATTAGCTGTTTTGTTGTGAGTACTTTTTTTACCCGAAGACGTCTTGCATGTTGATTCTACCACTTTTCCATGGATTTATAAATTTTACGAGCTTTGTTTTCTAGTGAAAAGAATGTTCGTCTGATAGATTTGGTTACTTCCAAGAAATGGATTTCTCAACGGTTGAAGTTGAACGTGCTTCGATGTATGGTTTCAAAGTGAGTTTCAAATATTGAAACCACTCAACATTTTGTTAACAATATTTTAATTTATTTAATTCGTGTTTGGTCTTATGATCGTTTTCTGCTTTAAAGTACTAAGTTTTAGTGGGTGCAGTGGTATCATGAAAGATTTACTTCAAGAAAGAAACTTGACCCTAGGAGACTTGTTGGCCTGTTTCAAATATCTATCTGAAAAAGTGATTTTTCTTTTTTGGTTATTTTGTTTCGTTTTATTGTTTGTTTGATTGTTAAAGGAAAATGGGTATAGCATTTGGAGATTTTACAGCATAATATATTAATCGTGCACTTCTAATTATTTATATGAGGTAGGATATGGAAAATGCTTTGGTTTTTTTCAATTAGAGCTTAAACTTTTCTGAAGTATACTCCTTTTAACATTAAAGGAACAGACTAGTTACTTGGTAGAGTGGATTCCAAAATTAAATGATCTTGTTATTTGCCCTAAAGAAGATGTGGTAGCTTTTCTACAGTCGCCTTGGATTGACGAAAAAAAGTACGACGATATTTTCGACAGTTTACTGGAACGTTTTTGGGTAAGTTACCGAAGCAAACTGTTTTTATTTTGTTTTTAGCCATGATTCTGCTTTTAATTCCCCTGTTTTCAAATTTCCTGCTTTAATAGGCTTTTGCAGAAATCTCCTGACCTTTTGAGAATTATGTTGCAACGGTATGGAAACTGGGCCTTGAAGAAACAGCAGTCAGTAATTAATTTAGCTTCAAGCAGTTTCTCATCACCGGACTGGGAAAGGCGTGATGCTGCTATTGAACTTTTACGGTGCCTTCCAAAAGTTGCTTTTAGGGATGGTAAGAGATTGAAAAGAGCTTAGTTTTTAAAAGCTTTGCTCTTTACTGTTTAGGAAAAGTCAACTAACTTTTGAACAGCTTCTGAAATTATTAAAATTTTTTAGTTTTTCTATGTTTAAGGAAGCTTTACTCGAAGAACTTTTAACTTCATCTCTTCATTTTTTAGTGGACGGCTAGCTAAGTTTATATGCAGTTTTCCAGGTGACCTTCTCATTTCAAAATTGAAAGTTTTGTGTGCTGAAGAAGTTAATCCCTTTGTTCAAGCTAATATTCTTCGATTTCTCGATGAAATGCACGTTGATACTATAATAGAACTCGCCGCTCAAATCATCAGACTAGGGAAATTTAATGAACCAAGGCAATCTTAAACACTCCTTTTTGTTAGATCAGATATCCTGCTTTTACATCCTGATCATTTTTGATATGCGTTTCACTTTATTTGAAACGAGTCGCAAAAACTTATTTAGCGGGTTCAATAATTTTATTTCTTTCATTTTAACAAAAGAAGTGAAGAATCGAAATATTGTAGGCTGGAAGCAGCAGCAGTATTGATACGGAATTTCCCAGAATCACAGAAATGGTGTCTTGAAATCTTACCAAGTATTTTAAATGACGGTGATGTCGAGATACAGGAGAAAGCTTTATCAATGGCTTCTGAGTTAAATAAATTGGGTGGAGAAAAAGCAGAAATTGTAAGGACATATCTAAATAAAATTTACGAGGTATTCTTTTAAAGCAGTGGTGTTTCTTAGTGTTTAGGATGAAGATGCTACAAAAAAGAGCAGATTTTCTCCATAAAGATTCATTTTTCTTTAGTTTCGACTCTTGAGAATTGAGCGGGTTTTAATAGTCTGCAGAAAGTTGTATAATATAACTTTAAATTCACCTCAACTTATTTACAGATCACTTTTGAACTGAAAAAGATCAGCTCAGTAAACTGTGTCCGAGCAACTAAATAACATAATAGTTAAACGTATTACATATCATCAAATTTTTAAGGCACATTGAACTTATTTAAGGATGAAAGCACATGGCGAAGAAGCGAAATAAATGGAATTCTCAATAATAGTTCAACCCTTAATGGAAATAAGTGCTGCAGTGTAAGCGCTATTGACTTGTTAAAAGACGCATTAGAAAAGCTAGAACTTCCAGCAGACGAAGCAGGCAATGAAAATGTTATGGATTGTTACTAAGATGGATTACTTCTGTAATTCAAAATTACTATTTTTTATCTTGATTTTTGGTTCAGGTTTATAGAGAATGTTTTAATAAAAGTATTTTTGATTATGTGAAGACTCAGGAAAAGCAGTCTTACTATTCTAAAAGCTCAAGTAAAGTGCAGAAGAAAAAAGTAAACCAGAATTGGAAGAGCAGTTTTGAGCAAGGTGGAAAGTTTTGAAGAAAAAGTCACCTTAGGTAGGCAATATAAAAACGGATTTTTGACTTTATAAAAAAGTTTCTCTTTACGTCAACGTCGGCGTCAGGTTGTTTTACTTGTACAGTATAGTCTGGAATCCGCTAAGTGAATGTGTTTTTGATAAGCTGTCGACTTATTCGGATTTCTTCTGCTTCTCGAGCTTTTCAGCAGTTTTTTTCAATTTCCTTGGTTTCATATATGCGTCGTAAAAGAAGCGCATAAACAACACTGCAAACGAGGCGTATATCGCGAAACAAAGTGCCAGATTCTCCATTGACTGTTGGCAAAGCTGAAATGAAAAGTCAATTTCAATAAGTAAATAAATTTATATTTAGTTGCTTATGTTTTTTATGCTCATCTGTTCACATTACTATTTATAATTATGATTATTTATATATTTCTAAGGTGTTTTTTAAATATTAAAAGTTTTGTCTGTGTTGTTATTCGCAGGTTTTGCGATTATTCCAAATTTTTGGATACGAAAAACCATTGGGAAGGTAATACTAACATTTGCTTTGTCCTGTTGGTCAAAATCAAAAAATTGCTACGGTATGGGTCAAAAAATACTGAAGTTTGGTTCAAAAAAGTCTTACCGTGTTATTAAGTTTCAGTTTAAGTACAGCGATTGAAATAGCTACACCAACAAGCATCTGTATAGTTTGAAGAGTTGTTAGGCAAATAGAAATTATTCTCGGCATACGAATACCGTATGCGGTCAAGGTGTAATAGCTGTACATAATAGAATGTACGAAAAAGTTCATGAAGATAAACCAGCGACCAGCGGCAGTGAGTTCGCAAGCTAAAAAAACTATTTTTTGAAGGAGTGTTGCTTTTTTATGAATAAGAAATATTAAGTTTTAGCACACTCGGCGTTTAAGCGGTAAAACCGATATTTATGGGCTGTATTTGTCGCATGAGACAAAGAATAAACTAGAAGACTGAAGGGAAGTGGGAATGGAGTAGTAGAGGAAGTTCTGTGAGGTGGTAAAGTTTTAAAGTAGAAGCATTTTCAGTTTTTCTCAAAGGAAACCTTTGTATTCTTGTAATAAAATGTTTTACTTATTAGTACAACAAAAAACTCTGAACTTGTAGGACGGTTTTTGAAATCATTTAAAAGCGCCTTTCAAAGCTTGTTTAAGCAGAGCAGAAGAAAATTTGATATAATTACTTAGTTTGCTTATTATGCATAGAATAACTCAACTGTATTCTTTGGAAGTGACAGGTAATAATGGTCAAGAAAACACTGTGGTCATTTTTTGTTCAACTTGTTTGTTAAGCAACGAATTAGAGGAAACGGCAAAAAATGAATTTCACAGAGCATTTACTTTAACATTTCCTCACTGCCTTCTTGCCACCAATTCCGCTATTCACTTTTTTCAGCTTTTTCCTCTTTTTTCTTTTTATTTTTATCGTTATTATTACTATTACTGTTACTATTACTGTTACTATTACTATTGCTATCACTATTACTATTACTATTACTATTATTGTTATTGTTATTATTATTATCATTGTTATTTATTATTAATCTCATTGTCATTTTTATTGTTAATACTATTACTGTCATAACTATTATTACTATTGCTGTTACTACCAATATTAATGTTTCTGTTATTATCAATACTACTTTCGCCACTAGTATTAACTTTAATATTATTATTATTATTATTATTATTATTATTTTTATTTTTATTTTTATTATTGTCATGATTGCTATGACTGTCATTTAGGTCAATTAGGGAGAGTATGTCAAAAAGGTTGTGGAGAGGAAAAAGCAGTAAAAGAGTTAAATATTTTCTACGGTTTTGTTCTATCGGTGAAAGTTGATTAGTCATTGCTGTTGGCATTTTTTTTGAAGTTTAGCACCTTAGACGTTAAAAACATAAAAGAAAAAAGTAAGTGTTGACGATACGGGAACGACGGTTCAACTGTATCGCCAATGTAACAAAACTTTTCAAAGTTTTTAGCTACTTTATTTAATAGTATTCGTCTGGATATGCCGTTGTCTTCTTCGCTATCCAAAATAGCTTCTTCCTTTTTGTCAGTGATTTAATTGTAAAAAATTTTAATATTTTGAAGATCTTTTATGTCGTTGCAGCACACAGTGTGGTAAACAATGAAAGTCTACAAAGACGTTTTTCTAAATTTTAATTCAGTTGCTCCCACTGCTTCAGCAATTTGATAATGTCAACTTCTTGACCATTTGACCTCTACGCTCCGTTGCCGCTTATGAAATCCTATCTTTGGTCCTCAAATAAATGATCCATAACTTAGCAAAAATGCTTATCTGATAAAAGGTAACATAAAGGTGAAGGACCAAGTAACACACTGTTTGGTGTTGGGACCAATTTTTCGAAAGGGTCACCAAGTTAAAGGCTTAATCTTGTTGACTATAAATCTTTCTCGCACAAAGAAAAATAGAAGAATAGTATCGACTTTGTTGCTGGAAAGATGAAGGCAGATGTTCAAAAAAAAGTCAAAGCTTTGTCTGTCGTTCTATAGGGAATTTGCTCAGCGAGTCCCCTCATACGAATGTTTTCTTTGACCCTCACTAAGCTATGGACAGTAGAAGAGCTAATGAAAACTTGTATTTAGACTTATAATTATATAATGTATCATTGATGTTTCTATTTTCAGAAATGATAAACAGCAGAACAGAAAATTCAAATCAGGTATAAGCGATTTTTTCTGAATAATCTTTTCTTCTTTATGCAATTCAAAATTCCTCCCCACAGGTTTTGTGAATTTGTTCAAAAGCTTCTTGATTTCTTTCTAAAAAAGATAAACTTCAAGCTTTTACTAAGTATAGTAACCTTAATTTGTACCCTGAAAATTTTTTGTTATTCTAGTGTCACTCTGGTCTTTCAGACACTTTCTGCATCATTTAATATGGATGAAAATCTCTGGCATTTGTAGAAAAGATGCAGCTACTGGAATACAGAATATGAGCGAAATGGAAACATGAGGAAGAGAAGTCAAGCTGTTTAATGGATTGTCAACTTTAATTAAGAAGCCTCTATCTACTACAGCATCAAATTTCTTCCACTAAAAAAATACAGCTTTTTTTTTTTTTTTTTTTGAAAATCTTTACTCATAAGTCATTTCAAAGCAGATTACATGTATATGCATTTGAAGAGACTTTTCGGCTTCTAAAATAAATTTATGCATTTTTTTTTTTCCACTCGGATGAGAAGTCAAAATATGCAGCATTTCAGTCGAATAGCTATTTTATAGTAACAGTTGTTTAGCTGTATTCTTTTGTCTTCCAAGCTTCTGTTTAGTTTTTCCAGCAACATTAATTTTTTGTTATTTTATATTTGATCTGTAAAAAAAAAAAAAAATTTTTTTTTTT